CTTTTACCAGTTACATACCGATTTAAAGCTTAAACAAATTTCATTTTGCAGGCACTCTCAGTCAATCACATCAAAAATTTTGTACACACCTGTTTAAATCATTAAGAAACTTAATGCTTTGTGTTAATTAATAATTGAATTGTTTATTTCAAAATCCCCACAAGCCACATTTTTCAACATTGACTTTTCAGTAAATTAGTGTTCCAGAGACTTGAATACATCATTTAGTGCAGATATCCAACATGTGCAGTTCTGCAAAACAGAGTAAATTGAGCTGTGTACATCACATTTAGTGCAGAAACCACACAAGTACTGACGCTTATGGGCTTTTTGCAGTACACACAGTATATTTTGTTCTTCAGCACAGACCATAATGTTCTTAAAAAGTATTATTTGCTGTTGTGCATCAGTATCAGTAAAGTACCAATGTCTGATTTGCAACACTCAGAAGATGAACCATTATAGTGAAGAGAAAAGTGTAGTGACCCGTAAGGAATTTTACAAAGGTAGCTCCATTCGAAGTGCAAGAGTAAGCAGTGCAAATTATATATCGCACATAAGTAAGAAGGTAGAAGAAACAACTTGTCCTAACTTTGCTCATTGTACATGTCCGTGCCCAAAGAAATGCTATTTCATTTTAAATTATTAAACCACACAACAAATTTGGAAATGATTTTACTCTATGCAAAGTAAAAATACTCAAGATATTTATCTCTAAACACATATTGAGACTAAATCTGTCAACCTTAAGTGTAAAACACACTTGTGAAATGATGAAAAGAAGGATAATACCGATTAGGAAATGAGTTATAATAATCCTACTAATGCCACATTAAGAGGCAAACTTTCTACTTTTATTAAAACAAATAATGGTAGACTTGGAAATTGTGTGAAAAAATACCTTTATGGCTGAGCATTTGATTACCCCAGACAGAATGATGCTATGGATTAAGTTCATAGATCCTGATGATGTAAAAAATGGATGAAGAAAATGGAAAATTAAAAATTTAAGATACTATACTACAGGGTATATACGATTCTGTTCGAGTGGATTTACATTATGTTTGAGAGGCCAACAACAAACCAAGAAACACCACTATTCAGCCAGATTATTTCAGAGCATTTCAATATAAGAACTACCATTTCTTGTACTTTTCATCTATTTTTCTAAATAAACCTAAGCTTTAATACTCTTGAGTACTTAAATTTATGATTCCATGCCAATTATACTAATAAGCTTTTGTTTCTGTACATTATTTAATCAAAATTAAAGAAAAAATCTGTTAATTGCAAAAACCCAATAAGTGCACTATTTTCTTTAATTTTTATTAAAAATATACAACTAAATTTCACTGATATTGGAATTTCAAGGTGTTCAGAAAACCATATATTGTAATACACATGTTTTTGAAAACTGATAACACAATACTTGGAAGCTATCCAGTTTTTCTTACTTTCTGAAAACTTTACAATTTTGCGCTTATGGGTTTTTTAAATAAATGATTTAATTATTACTGTAAATGTGTTCTTTTGGGCAATATATTGAATATTATTTTTATTAATACATTTTACACCCAAAACCTTAATGCAAAATATGCATTAGTATATGCAAAAAAAATTTTTTTTCATTGCAGATTGAATATTTTGGCATGAAACAATGTTTTGCATTAGTTCTTACTACGGAATATTTGTTCATAAAACTTAATAAATAAATATTCTTCATATTACAGTGTGTGTGTGTACTTCCTCACATGTATATTTATATGTAGATCTTTTTATTTCAAAATTCAAATTATGATTATTTTGATTCACAAACTGCTGCTAAAAATACAGATCCGTTCAAATTATAAGATTAGCAACAAATTTAGAAGTTCTGATTTAATGATAAAATATCAGATCCCTAGATCACTGAAAGTAATTTTTAATTACAAAACTGCCATCCACCTTTTAATAACATACATATTTTCTCTGGTGCAAAAGTGGTGAAGAACAGATAGACATAATAACATGATTTCCAATAAATGGCAACAGAGTGAAGTATAAATACAGGTGTTGTTTTGTTTATGGCAACGCTTAATTTTGTGACTTTCTGATGTTTCTTTTAACAAGTTTCACTGACTTTGTATGTGGTGAGGAATCAATTTAAACATTTGGTAATGTGTTGACTTTTTTTTTTAATGCCGAAATGGGAAAGGGCAGCAACCTTTCCCCCTGTAAGATTGCAGTAGAATCAATATTGCAATGATGGAAATATGAAATCTACAAACAAATAGTAGAGTAGAAAATGTGCATGGAAACCTAAGCTCTCTCTTCAAGGCATCAGAAAACAAAAATTTAGCTCTGAACAGAAAAGCTACCAATAAAGAATTAAGCCTGGAGATGATAGAGTTTGGACCATGTGTTCCTCCAGGAATCGAGAGAAGAATTATCTGTGGGGAGGGAATAAAATCATGCCTCAGAAAAAAGCAAAAATTACATCTGCAATAGCAAAGCAATGTGTTGACCAAGGTTCGAAACACTGGACATGAGATAGCTGGTTGCAAGTCCTTTTTAGTGATGAATCGTATTTCATTACGTGATGTTTCAGATATATTCATAGTGCCATTCCTGTTTGAATGCCTGATCATAATAAGAGATTCAAATTGGAATGTGCACAACAAACTGTAAAGCATCAAACATCTGTTATGGTGGGAGGCATAGTAATGTCTTCCATGGATTCCTGGAAACTTTATAATATAGAGGAACAATGAAATAAGACAATACATAAAAGTCTTTATGGAATAACTATTGCCACAGACAGAAACCTGATTTCATGACAACCCATATGTGTTTATGCATGATGGTGCACCCTTCCATCAAGATGAAAACAAAAAAAAATCCTGACGAGGAAGGATATTGGCATACTTCAATGGCTAGACAACAGCCCTGACATGTACACAATAGAAAACGTTCAACAAAGACTGAATGCCTTGATAAATAATAAAAAATCCATACAAAATACTCATTTTTGTTATTGCTCTTGAAAAACAAATGAGTA